TACATTTATTTATTCCTATACAGTAAGGAGAGCTGATAAAAACATGCTTTTAGGTTGTGTTACACAAAGAGGTCGTGGGTAGTATTGCTGGAACCAGCACTTAAAAAAATCAAAAGTAAAGGCTTGATTTTGCTCTCATTCAAGTCAGCAGTGAAATTTCTTTTGACTTGAATGAAGCAGGAATAATCCCTGAGAGACAAGCCGGTAACAATATTGCAAGTTTATGTAAAATTTATTTTAGAGCCTTGTATTTTAATAATGGGCAGTCTCTCTGGAAACAAATGATCCTTGAAATATTAGGATCAAAATACAATTGCTAATGGTTGTGAACATAAAACAAACACCCCAAAGAGTTTCTATGTTTATTCATTCAGATTGCAGTCTCAAAGAAACCCTTAGCAAAGAGTGCCCACGTACATTTCTGAGTGACTTTGGCATACATTTGTAAGTGCAATAAGGGTTATAAAACAGCAATCATCCAAAGCAGTGTCACTTCTCCTTTCTCCCACACCTCGTTAAATCACCAACCGCGTGACCAATATAACTGAAAGGTCCCACCAGACAGGAATCCCACCCTCAGATTCATCACTCCTCTACCTGACAAATGGGCTTGAAAGCATGCCTGGAAGGTCAACACATTTTAGTAAACACGAAGAAAACTTCTCAAGTCTTCCAGGATGTGTCTGTTCCAAAAGGGGGCATATCTTCATTCTGTGGAAGGGCAACTTATTCAGAATAAAAGTCACCCTGAGGAGGAAGCTAGTCACCAAATGGGAGGAAGAGGTGGTGTATTAAAAAAAATTGCATAGCTGTTGAGAGGTGGAGAACATTTACTGAGGGTTTTACTCTTGCAACATAAAACACTTAATTCTCACCAGTGCACTCCATGCTGAAAATGCTCTGTCCATGAGTAATCTCCCATTAAAGATGCAGGTAGGGCAAAGTGGACTGTTGTAGCAGTCTACTCTCCCATGACCTCAGTCCTGGAGGGTGCTGAACAACTCTCCACAAGATGTGGTCAGCACCCTTTCCTCCCACTGAAGTCAATGGGAGTTGGGGGTGTGGAATACCCCTCAGGATCAGCTCTAAATTTGGAAAGTTCATAGAAATGTAGGATTGGAAAGGACCTCAAGAGGTAATCTAGTCCATCCTGAGCTGAGGCAGATTAAGTATACGTAAACCATCCCGTTCTTAAACTCCACTGATGGGGATTCCATAACCTCCCTAAATAACCTGTTCCAGCGCTTAACTATTCTTATAGTCAGAAAAATGTTCTTAATATCTAACCTAAATCTCCCTTGCTGTAAACTAGCAACCTTTTATGTATTTGAAGACTGTTATGTCCCCGCTCAGTCTTCTCTTCTGTAAACTAAATATATCTACTTTCAACCTTTCCTTACAGGTCATGTTTTCTATGGCATTGATGTTTACAATGGCCTAATTGGTCTGTGTGTTTTTCTTAAATGTTCTAGCCAGTCAGAACTACTTTACTACTCTTCTCTGGCTGGATTGTTTCTGTCTGAGGCCTGGTTGACGTCAATAATAATAATAATAATGATAAATAATTAATAAGTGTATTATATTTTATTGGTATTAGAGGCTTCAGCCAAGATTCATGCAAACCCATAGTCAAGCAGTCCCTCTCTAAAGAGCTTACAGTCTAAGTACACAAGACAAACGGTGGGAGGAGAAACAGAAGCACAGTCAAGTGAATGACTTGCCCAAAGTCACTCAGAAGATCAGTAGCAGCACCATGGTTACGACTCCCAGGCCAGTGTCCTGTCCAGTAGACTACAAGACCTCTCTAGACAATGCTGCCTCTCCTATAATAACCCTTGAATAGAGGGCCTCAAGTAGTGAACCCTTCTACCAACTAAATGATCCATAGATGGCTTGTTTAAAATTCTTCTGCGAGTGGCAGGATTTCCAGGCTATAATCAGGCTGAGTCAGGGGGACTAGGTTCTGATTTTGGCTCCATGAGTGTAAATCCAGCATAGTTCCTTTGGAGTCAGTTTGACCCCAGATTTACCCCAGTATAACTGAGTTTAGAACAGGGGTGGGCAACCTTTCAGAAGTGGTGTGCCGAGTCTTCATTTATTCACTCTAATTTAAGGTTTCGCGTGCCGGTAATACATGTTAACGTTTTTAGAAGGTCTCTTTCTATAAGTCTATATTATATAACTAAACTATTGTATGTAAAGTAAACAAGGTTTTCAAAATGTTTAAGAAGCATCATTTAAAATTAAATTAAAATGCTGATCTTACGCCACCAGCCTGCTCAGCTCGCTGCCAGCCTGGGGATCTGTTCACCTAGGCCGGCAGTGGGCTGAGTAGGGCCTGCGGCCGGGACCCCAGACTTGGGGGTGGGTGTTTCAGGGGTCAGGGCAGAGGACTGGGGGAGGGGGTTCAGGGCAGAAGGCTGGGGTGTGTGGGGGGGTGGGTTCAGGGATGAGGGCAGAGGGCTGGGGTGTGTGGGGGTGTAGGGCAGAAGGCTGGGTGTGGGGGGAGGGTTCAAGGATCAGGTCAGAGGGCTGGGGACTGTAGGGGGTGCAGGGCAGAAGGCTGGGTGTGTGTTGGGGTGGGCGGGTTCAGGGCAGAGGGCTGGAGGGTGTGGGGGGTGCAGGGCAGAAGGCTGGGGTGCTCGGCTCGTGGGGGTGCTCCCAGCCCCCTGCCCTGAGCGGCTCATGGCAGGGGGCTGGAAGGGATATGCCCTGTTCCACCCCCTTCCCCCAGGCTCCCAGGCTCCATCCCTACCTCTCTCTGCCTCCTCTACGGAGCTGTGTGCACGCTGCCGGTCTTCCCCCTCCCCCTCACTAGGGCCATCAGCTGATTGGTGCAGGGAAGGAGAGGGGGAGGGGCCAGAAAGCACCACGCCGGGGGAGGAAGCGGGGGAGGGGGAAAGCTTGGCTGCCGCAGAACCAAGCTTCTGCCTCCTGTCCCCGCAGGGGAGAGCGGTGGGCAGGGGGACTGAGTGGGGCTGGGGGCCGGGACCGCGTCAGGGGAGCTGCGTGCCACTCAAAATAGGCTCGCGTGCCGTAGGTTGCCGACCCCTGGTTTAGAAACTGACTTAGAGACTCATCTCTTGGGAAGATGGGATATGAAATGCCTTAGGAGTTACTCAGCAGCTAGAAAGAGGGGATATCCCTTCTTCTGAAGAATCTTCCTCTGTGGCTGTACAAAGAGAGAGAGTGTATCCAATGCAGGATCAAACCCTAAAGCAGTACTGCAGAAATAAATGTTAAGTTGCAAAGCTAACACTTCCCGGTGCATTTTGAAATTACAGCTATCAGTCAAGACTCACGACTACCCTCTCCACACACAGGAGGAAATCAATGTAAAGCAAGTGCATACAGTGCAGTCTGAGGAAAGAAGAATGCACTATGGATGAAATGCTCAGTTAAAAACCAAAAATAACACCAAGGGAATCTTAAAATCGTGTGAATTCAGCCAAAGAGTTACAAGTGTACAACTCCTTTTAAAAAAAGGTATTCATGTGACATTAAATATGGAACACCTACCATGAAAAGTCTGCAGAAGGAAAAAAATTAATTTTGTGATTCTCACCTACAATTTTATCTCATGTAAGGACACAACAGTTTGATTGGGGGGGGCAGCAAAATTGACTCTCTAAAACCAATCCAATCTTGCATTGTCACATTCTATTTTACTCACACATCTACAGAAGAAGCTGAATTTTTTCATACCAATTTCACATGGCTACCTTTTCTAAAAGTCTGTTATATCTGGACTATACTAGGAAGCTGCTTAAGAGTGTACCCTTCTATTTAGAATGCAAACTCCACAAGTGACTAATAAAAGGTCCTTTGAGTCAGGCAACTACATTCATGTATTATAGGAGATGAGGTTAGTGCATCACAAGTAAAATCATGGGAGTGACTGAGCAGGGCTGTGACAGTGGAGTTGCAGAGGGCTTACTGTGCTGCTGCAGGGCTGATGACACCCAATCCTTGCAGGTGCAAAGGGCGAGGAAGGGGAGTCTAGGCTTCTGGTGGGGCAGGACTGCAAGAAGGAGGAGGAGCCTCTGGTTGCGGGAAAGGGCACCCAACTGCTCAATGGCTCCTGTCTTCTCGATTGTCTGAACTCCCAATTATCCAAATAAAAGCAGTGTCTCCCCTGCTATTCGGACAATCAGCAGTATGCTGTATACCAAAACATCCCCCTGCATTGTGCATACTCACAACCTTATGGAGACCACCAGATGTATCAGAAGAGAAGATAGAAGGAAAAGTAAGTGGAGAACCACTGTAAGTGGATGACATTGAAGTTTCCACAATCCTGTCATCCTGATGTCCCAACTAGGGATTGAGCATACACTTCCATTCTACACCTTGACCTTACAACCCTACAATTCCAGGACCGTATTTGATTTAAGTTTCAGCCCCTTTTTGCATATATGTCATTCCAAGGAACCATAATTGGCATTCGGATTGCTAACATAAGCTATTTGTGTCAAGACATTCGCTAATATTTCCAACATATTAATGTGGTTAACCTCACGCGTACATATTCCAGAAATCCCCTAGAAATCTGTTATTTCAAGCGTAAACAGACCTTTTGTGGATTACTTGTTTATCACAAGATACATATTGCTAAATCATATAACCCTAAGCCAAGAACTGTAGGCTAACTAACTAGGCCTCATACTTTTGCAGAGCCTGTAACAAATATTTTGATAAATTTTCTGTTTCCCCCTATTTACATTACAGCTTTACTTGCTTTCCTTATTGGCACTTTTAACATTTCTTAACATATAAATTAGATAAGCTTAGATACAGACCTACCAAAATCAGTTCAGGAGGTCAGAGGTCAACAGAAGCATATTAGTTATAACATGTGGTGAGCACATTTTCTCCTCCTTACAGAGCAGCTGTACTTTGGAAACATTGGACATTTTGGACTGCTTGTTTATTAGTTAATAGAACATGAACCTTGCATTATATTAACAACTAAATATATAACAACCTTATGTATTCAACAGAGTGCATCAGGAGACTTAATGATTAGAAACATCCAGCTGAAACACAGTGGAAAATATGTTTGCATGGTAAAGACAGAAGTGGATAGTGTATCATCGGCAGCAGATCTGATAGTACGAGGTAAACTTTGGCTATTTTGCTGATCTTATTTTCTAATGACTTTCCTAGCTGACATTGTGAAACATAGAAGGGGCTAGATTGTCACTTGAACTATACGCACATGTAAGTGAGGAATGGAGAGTATGAATACTCTCTCCTCTCCCCAGTCCCCCTGCCTGCCATGTGCATGCATGTACACACAGCCCTGCTTGGGCCCTGCATGCCCACTCTCACTCTCCTTGGAATCTGGAGGAGCAGGCAGTGGAAGGAGCACTGGCTTCACACCTGTTCTCATGGCTAGTTGAGCTAGTGGGGGAGGGCAGGGGTGTAGAAACTTGCTGCTAGTAGAAATGCAATTGTGAATGACCTCCACCAAAGGAGCAGCTAGGCAATTGTGGCCCACTCATACACCTGCCACTCCTGTGGCTTTGTCTCGAGACACAATGTAGTCCAAATTATGGAATCTGATGGTATTTATTTTAACTCAAGATTTATTTTAGCTGTTAGAGATTAAACTGTAGCTCCAAATAAACTCTCATTATTGATTAGCCAGCTGAACTTATTGCAAGAAAAACAGCTGTAATACAGTGACGAAAATTCCAAAATCTACATTCATTCAGTGTATTTTAAAATGCACAGGACATTTTACAGTGGTGGCTGAACTGTTGAGCATTTCATCACTACCACCACCCCTGGGGCAAAGCCAGTTTTCATCTTCTGTTTGTGCAGCGCCTAGTACAATGGTCCATGACTAGGGCTCCGAAGTGCTACCACCATAATAATAATTTCCTCTCCTGTTGTGTGTGAGGCAAAAGCAGCATCTTTTGCAGGGTCTCACAGAATCAGGATTTTCCAGCATGCTGCAGGAAGCTTGCCTGAGTGAATTGCTGTCCAGGGTGCTGATCTGATGTTGTGCTGAAAAATGACTGCAGTGCATCATACAGAAAACAGCTTTAGATAACAAATTGGAGGCCTGCCGAACCGTATTAGTAAATTTAAAGGAGGACATCAAAGACTAAAGAAAAAGGCATTGCATTTGGAAAGGTAGAGGAACTCTGCTGAACAAAAGTCCCTGAAAGAACCTATCATCTGTGTTATAGTTTTGGAATTACCATTTCAGAACTTGGTTTTCACAGCTATAAAATACCAGACAGAAGTTCAGGAAATGTGAAAACTGGTATTTTTATTGCAAGCTAAATTGTTTTATTCCCCCCACAGTGCTGGTAAAATAGGAATCAGTTGGGGCTGTATCTGTGGGTTTTGTTACCTTCACAACATACCACCAACTTCTCAGTCTGCTTTCTGATTGCATTAGGCTCCCCTGGCCCCCCTGAACATGTGAAAGTGGATGAAATCACAGATACCACAGCTCAGCTCTCTTGGCAAGAGGGCGCAGATAATCACAGCCCAGTCACTACTTACGCCATTCAGGCGAGAACACCATTTTCAGTGGGTTGGCAGAGAGTCACAACAGGTAAAACAAGAAATCTTGTTACAGTGTCTATATCCAGTTGAAATGGTTGTTTAAGGGGAGGGAGAAGTTCCTAATGCCCCACAATTTTATTGAATAGTTCCTGATGTCATCGATGGAAACACTTACACGGCCACGGTAGTGGATTTAAACCCTTGGGTTGAATATGAATTTCGTGTCGTTGCCAATAACAAAATTGGAGGTGGAGAACCTAGTTTACCCTCAGAAAAAGTAAGAACTGAAGAGGCAGGTTAGTGGGTTTTTCTATTTGTTTGTTTATAATTAAAATGCCTTGGCTACAGAACAGCATTCAGACCTATGATCCTTTTCATACCAGTTTTGAACTACGGTCCAATATAAAGGCACCAGAACTAATTTGTTTGTGATTTTTCCATGCAGCTAGATGAGTGGCCTTGCTCCACTGCTATCATCAACAAAACATCCCAATACATGCTACAGCATGCTGAGATCTCATTGTGTTCAGTCAGCTATGTAGAGGCTACAGATTTCAATGGATGTAGAGGGGATTTCTTTATTTCATTAAATAAAGGAGGACAACAGTGCAAGTTTCAACATGGGATTGCTTCACATTTGCACTTAGTTCAACCAGAAGAAAGCATCATTTGTACTAGACAGTAACAAGTTGTTTTCATAGTACGGCATAGGAGCACTGCCTTCCTCACACATTTAATGTTCTGCCATTAGTGCTATTGAACGCTCACAGGTGATGGATAACCAAGCGCACACTCTAGTGCTCACATGCTAAGATAAGGAAAACCAATTTTAATCACTACAGGATGGAATTACTAGAGAAGGTCACTAAATAGTTGCATTTTCTCTGAAGCACTGAAGTATTAAAGGAGTCTTTAAAAAAAAAAAAAGAAAGCAAAGCACAGGGCTAGAAAATTACTCTATCGAACAAGCCCTGTTTTTAATGCTTGAGAAACACAAGGGGACTTGAGTATAAGTGAAGATTGGGATTTTCTTTGTAATCAGCATCATAAAGGTTTATAGAGTATATGAAGAGTTGGAGCATAAAGTATGCATGTGTGATTATCTAACAGTAATATTTTTCTGCTCAGGACACGGGAGGGAATTATTCAATAATCATCTTTCTCATGAAAATCTAATGCTGTCATGCTGGCAAGGTTACTGCTAATTTGTTTATCCTGAGGTTAGGTATAGGTTGTCATTTTTTTTTTCATTCATAGATCAAGTTAGTTTGGTTAGTTTTGCCACTTTTGCTTTTCTTCTCCTCTTTTGATCTTGGTGCACCTGGTACATATAAGACACGTGTCCCAAGAGAATATATTGATGAATTCCAATAAGGTGGTAGTTACATTGAGTAAGAGCATTGCACAAGTGATCTGTGTAGCATACCCAGCATGACACCTTGCAGCATGTCTCAAGTTGTTCGGGGGCTCTTAAATTTTAAACCAGGATGCAATCCTGCAAATCAGTGAGTTCCTCCTGTAAGTTCTGTGCCGAGCACAGCAAGTGCACAAGCAAAATGAGTGCAGGAAGTGCTTGGTGCTTCCAAGGATTGGGCCCACACAACAGTGTAGAAACAACTGCCCTGTTTCGAGCAACAAATTGAGTAAAACTCTGAGTTCCCTTCAAAGCATAGATTAGTGTCATACAAAGTCATCTGTTTAGTATGTATCTATATGTTTAGCTAAACTATGTGTTTCTTCTTCACAGTTCCTGAAATACCCCCATCTGAAGTAAGTGGGGGAGGAGGCAGCAGATCTGAACTGGTCATAACATGGGATGTAAGTTTTCTTGCAAGAGATATTCTTCCAAGAATAACTCTTTTCATTCAAATTCCCGCTCAGAGATCAAACCCCTTGCATTCAGCAGCATCTCATCTAGGACATATGAGTGTGCTAACATTCTATAATGTGAGCTATGCATATTTCCTTCCCGCTTTCACTTCCATTAGTTACTGTCCTAGAACAGAATCAACAGAAAATATAGTTGACATGCCTGAGATTGCTCCTGGCTTAGCACAAATGTTAAGAGAAGTGTAGAAACATTGTTGAAGAGTCAAGCAGAAGAGTTATGCCTTTAATTTTGTCCACTCCCAGTGGCACTCTGGAGTTTCTCCTTGATTCTGCTAGTTTTGGACATAGGAGAAAAGAAGACATTTTGGTAACACTTTATATTAAGGGTTTTATTTATAAATTGTTTATAAAAGGTTAATAAATGTTATAAACATGTTACAAACATGTTACATTCATGTTACATTACATCCCTAGCCTCTGTTTGTCAGAGGGTGGAGATGGATGGCAGGAGAGAGATCACTTGATCATTACCTGTTAGGTTCACTCCCTCTGGGACACCTGGCATTGGTCACTGTCGGTAGACAGGATACTGGGCTGGATGGACCTTTGGTCTGACCCAGTATGGCCGTTCTTATGTTCTTATAAGTACTGTGTGTTATAGATGGTTGTCACTTCAGTAGGTGTTAAATAGTTATAACCCATAGTAGTAAGCAATGCGGTGTCCTGATGAACTTTTCGTACACATATCAATTAATCACTTTTTAATCTTTTATAAACAATTTATAAATGGAACCTTAATATAAAATGTGACCAACATTTTAAAAAATATTTAATCAGTGTCTGTCAATCCAATTTACTTAGTGATAAACAAGCAACGTTCCTAACAATTTATTCTGTTGTTAAAGGCAATCATACCGTACAAATCGTGAGGTAGCCTCAGGGGAGCACACTTTAATATACCGTACATAACCCATGAACTTGTATCCTTGTTTTTGCACAGCCTGTTCCTGAAGAATTACAAAATGGTGAAGGATTTGGATATGTTGTTGCTTTCCGACCTCTTGGCGTTACGACATGGATACAGACTGTAGTCACATCTCCTGATACACCAAGATATGTCTTTAGAAATGAAAGCATCCTGCCATTTTCACCGTATGAAGTCAAAGTTGGTGTATATAATAATAAAGGAGAAGGGCCATTTAGCCCAGTAACCACAGTCTTTTCTGCTGAAGAGGGTATGTGTTTGAATCATCTCTTGAATGGTTTTTTAATGCCTGTTTGATATGATAATATTACAACAGCTGAATGAATATTTGCTTAGCAGATATCACTGAGGCCATTTTCAATTAAAAGCCGTGCTGACATTTTTATTTTCCTCTTTACCATTTACCATTCCTGTTTACTATTGTTCTCTTTTTATTTCCAAATACAGAGCCTACCATAGCACCTTCTGGTGTCTCTGCAAAAAGCTTGTCATCTTCAGTAATTGAAGTTTCCTGGAATGCCATTCCTTGGAAAATGAGTAGTGGACGGTTACTGGGTTATGAGGTAAACCCCTTTAACTATGCACCCTCCAGTAAGGTAGCATGACCATAATTATGTTTTATTTCCTGATCATTTATTTGTGAGTTAGCAGTCATGCAGTATGTTCAAATAACAATAAGAACATAGCAGTAGGAATATATTACCAACCACCTGACCAGGATGGTGATTGCGCAATGCTCAGGAAGATTAGATAGGGTCTAAAAATAGAAAACTCAATAACAATGGGGGGGATTTCAGCTATATGGACTAGGTCAGGGTGGGATGCAGACATACATTTTGTAGACACCATTAATGACTAATACTTGGAGCAGCTAGTCCTGGAACCCACAAGGGGAAAAGCAATTCTGATTTAGTCCTAAGTGGAGTACAGGATCTGGTCCAAGAGGTGTATATAGCTGAAAAACTTGGTAATAGTGACCACAATGTAATGAAATGTATCATCCTTGTGGTGGTAGGAACCAAAGATGCCCACTACAGTAGCATTTAACTTTAGAAAGGGGAACTACACAAAAATAAGGAAGTTAGTTAAACAGAACTTAAAAGGAACAGTCACGAGTGAAATGCCTGCAAGCTGTATGGAACCTTTTTAAAAACACCATAATAGAGGCTCAAATTAAATGTATACCCCAAATTTTAAAAAACAGTAAGAGGACCAAAAAAATGCCACCATGGCTAAACAGACTAAAAGAGGCAAAAAGGTTAGAGGCAAAAAGAAATCCTTTAAAAATTGGAAGTCAGATCCTACTGAGGAAAATAGAGAGGAGCGTAAACTCTTGCAAGTCAAGTGTAAAAGTATAATTACCCAGGCCAAAGGAGAATTTGAAGAGCAACTAGCAAGACTCAAAAACTAATAACAAAAAAAATGTAAGTACATCCGAAGCAGGAAGCCTGCCAAACAAGCGGTGGGGCCACTGGATGATCAAGGTGCTAAAGGCGCACACAAAGAAGACAAGGCCATTGTGGAGAAGCTAAATGAATTCTTGCATTGGTTATCACTGAGGGGGATGTGAGGGAGATTCCCACACCTGAGCTTATTCTTTTTAGGTGACAAATCTGAGGAACTGGCCCATATTCAGGTGCTGATAGAGGAGGTTTTAAAAAGTACTAAGTCACCAGGACCAGATGGTATTCAGCCAAGAGTTCTGAAGGAAATCAAATATGAAATTGCAGATCCACTAACCGTGGTATGTAACCTATCACTGAAATCAGCTTCTGTACCAGATGACTAGAGGATAGCTAATGTGATGCCAATTTTTTAAAAAGGCCGTAGAGGCGATCCTGGCAATTACAGGCCGGTAAACCTAACTTCAATCCCAGGAAAATAGGTTGAAATTATAGTAAAGAACAGAATTATCAGACACATAGGTGAACACGATTTGTTGGAGAAGAGTCAACATGGCTTTCTCAAAGGGAAATCATGCCTCACCCATCTATTAGAATTCTTTGAGGGGGACAACAAAGATGTGGACATGGATGATCCAGTGGATATAGTGTACTTGGACTTTCAAAAAGCCTTTGACACGGTCGCTCAACAAAGGCTCTTAAGCAAAGTAAGTAGTCATGGGATAAGAGGAAATGTCCTCTCATGGTTAAGTAGCTGATTAAAGAAAAGGAAACAAAGGGTTGGAATAAATGGTCAGAATGGAAAGAGGTAAATAGCGGTGTCCCTCAGGGATCTGTAGTGAGACCAGTGCTGTTCAACGTGTTCATAAATGATCTGGAAAAAGGGGTAAACAGTGATGTGGCAAAATTTGAAGATGATACAAAATTACTCTATAGTAAAGCAGACTGCGAAGAGCTACAAAAAGATCTCACAAAACTGGGTGACAGGGCAACAAAATGGCAGGTGAAATTCAATGTTGATAAATGCAAAGTAGTGCACATTGGAAAACATAATCCCAACTATGCATACAAAATGATTGGGTCTAAATAAGCTGTTACCAATCAAGAAAGAGATCTTGGCATCATTGTGGATGGTTCTCTGAAAACATCCGCTGAATGTGCAGCGGCAGTCAAAAAAGCGAACAGAATGTTATGAGCTATTAGGAAAGGTTTAGATAATAAGATAGTAAATATCATGCCATAATGCCCATACCTTCAATACTTCATGGAGTTCCGGTCACCCCATCTCAAATATTATATTTTAGAAATGGAAAAGGTACAGAGAAGGGCAGCAAAAATGATTAAGGGTATGGAACAGCTTCCATATGAGGAGAGGATAAGAAGACTGAGGCTATTCAGCTTGGAAAATAAACTAAGGGAGGGGGTCCATCTAGCCCAGTATCCTGTCTTCCAACAGTGGCCAATGCCAGGTGTACCAGAGGGAATGAACAGAACAGGTAATCATCAAGTGATCCATCCCCTGTCGCCCATTCCCAGCTTCTGGCAAACAGAGGCTAGGGTCACTGATGTCCAATGTATAGGTTCTATATAGTAGAGAATTTTCTTTCTCTCTCTCTCTCTCTGACTAAGTGTGGTGTCTCTTTCCAAATATCTTTGAGAACCAACCAGAATGGGCGTGTATTGTATAGCGATCCCTGTGATGGCAGTCATGGTTCTATCTCTCTGTCTGCCTAAAGCTGATATTTTTTGAATGACAGCTTTAATTTGCATGGGAACTGTTTTATAAGATACAGTGTTCTAATGAGTTTAGTGTGTGTTGTATTATTGTTTGTTTATTATTGTTAATCGTGTTTGTTACGATACTGCCTAAGGACCAAGAATGGGGTCCCATTGTGCTAGGTGTTGTACAAACACCAAATAGTAGACAGCCCCTGCCTGGAAATGCTTACAGTCTAAATAGATGAGGCAGACACAGGGTGGGAGAAGGGGTAGAACACACAAACAGTGTGAACGATATGTTGGCAGCAAACGTCATGTTAGTTCTATGATTTTGGGGGGTGGAGGGCCTAGTTAAGAGGGTATCAGCTACACGGAAAGAAAAGTGAGGGGAGAGGTGATATTGAAGAGAAAGGAAGGTTAGGGAGACAGGGCAGGAAGACGAGGATGAGAGGGGCACGTATGGCGGGAAGTTGAGGTGAAGAGGCTGTAAGGGAGGAAGAGGGTTGAAGCAAACAGCCAATCAGCGCAGGGCAGAGAATGTAATGATGAACTAATGCTTTTCCTCTGTCATCATTTTCATTCAAATAGTCTCTAACATTTTAGTTTCCTTTTTTCTATAACCACACTAAGAAAGAAATATTAGTATGAAAAGTAAAGCCAGATAGGGAATAGGGATGGTATTTTCATAGGATATGTATTATTTCTGAAACTTTAAGGTAATTCCACCATTTTCAAGAGAGAAAAAAGCACTTACAGGAATCAGACATAATACTGCGTATGAACATTTTGTCATGAAAACATTTTAACTCGTTATGTTTTGTATCATAGGTCAGGTACTGGAATAATGGTGGAAAAGAAGAATCTTCAAATAGAGTAAAAGCTACAGGGAATGAGACATCAGTAAGAATAACAGGCTTGAAGAGCAACTTAGCATATTACACAGCTGTCCGGGCATATAACAGTGCTGGGTCAGGACCCTTTAGTGCCACCGTCAATGCCACCACAAAAAAGACACGTGGGTATCATCAGTCTAAATAAATGAGGGGAGGGCCATCATGGGTTTTCATCACTTGCAGGCAAAAGGGAGAACGTGTGCATTATTGGGAATGATGAGAGGAACAAATGAACCAGACTTTCATATAAAATAGAACCCTCACACTTTTTCAAATTCAAGCCCAGAGCCAACACCCACTTCTGTGGATGTTGTTCATGATCATGGTTATGCAAAAATCAAACATGTTCATGGACCCGACTAGCTGAAAGTCACCACCACTGATTTCCAAACGTTTGTGAATCTGGACTACTAAATTCTTCATACTGATAAAGAATTTTCAAAAGTCAGGTTTGATTTTATGATGTTGAAAAACAGTCTTCTGCTATATGGAACCAAGTGACTCACTGAATATTTCATGGCTTTATAAAATAAGTTCTCTAGAACCTGACTTTGGAGGTGGACTGTAGTTCATGTAAAACAATCACTTATGTTGACTCTTGTGTTCTCTTGCCCAGATTACTCACAAGATACCACTTTACTACCAAAACAAGATTTCACTCCGGAGAACACACAAATACTCAGAAAGGCTGTGATAATTTCCACAGAACAGGAAATGTTTAAACACAGTTCAGAATCAATGCCATAAATTTTGAAGCATTGCTTTTTAACTAACATAAATCCACAAGTAAATCTGAATAAAGGGCCAAATACACCTCTACCCCGATATAACGCTGTTCTCGGGAGCCAAAAAATCGTACCGCGTTATAGGTGAAACCGTGTTATATCGAACTTGCTTTGATCTGCTAGAGTGCGCAGCTCCGCGCCCCGGAGCGCAGCTTTACCGCATTATATCCGAATTCAGGTTATATCAGGTTGCGTTATATTGGGGTAGAGGTGTATATACACAGAGAGACAGACTCTGATATATTTACTAATGCAATTCTATCTTGAGTAGTCCCATGGCCAATCCCAATATGTGAGTCAGTTTATCAGACTCTGGCCCTTGAAGAATAGCCCCAATAAAGTTAACATCATTGTGGCTACTCACATGAGTAAGGCAGGCAGGATTTTTCCCATTAGAATTTTAAAAGTGTTCCATAGAAATGCTAAATATTGTTTTGTTAGAATGTTTACATTATAGTATTGTCGATTTTACTATATCCCGTATCAAAAAGTGTTAAGTAAAAACACCACTGCCAGTTTAACTATCATTTTACTGATATTTTTGTACATTGCTCATATTTTTGTATAAATGGAAGTTTTCTTCCCTAAGTCCACTGATTATTGCCTGACCCATTCACTGATGCTCCAGTCCTAATTTTGTGACATCGTGGTGTCTTGGACGAATATACAAAACTAAGTGAGACAAAACCACTTGACTGTGGTAGTTATTGAATTAAGGCCTCATGCCATTGACTTCAGTGGGCTTTGGATTTGGCCCTGAATGAATACATCTGGTAGATGGAACAGGCTGATTAAAAAGTTTCTAGCTACGCATCAATATTTTGGTAGTGAGTAATGAAGGTAAATAGATTATGGTTCAACAGAAGTGTGTGGCAATTTGAAAATTTTTTGTATCCCTCACATTAAGTGAAAGTTAACAGCTTTCTGCACAACTTTAGTACTCATGCAAAGAATTTGAATGTTTCAAGTCTTCTCATCTTCTCTAAGGAAAACTTTAATTCAAACACGGCTTTTTCAGAATTCCTCCAAACTTTCCACTCATGAAACATTCCTCACCATCTCGTTCCTTTCTTTTCATTCTCTACTTTCTTTTGAGTAGAACTGTTTGAAGAATTTGAAAATTCAAAATTTTCAGTGAAACGTGGACACATTTTTCATTAAAAGTTGTTGAAAATAAGTGTTCCTTTCTTCCATCAGCTCACATTTTAAGCTTTTTAATTTCCACCAATACCCCCTCAGATCTTTTTGAATAATGCCCTTCTTATTGTGCATATGATTATATATGTTACAATTGCACTTTCCACATTTTTGCATGCAACCCATACGATATTAGTTAATATTAACCTCTAACATGAAACATACAAGTCACATACCATAGTCATGGATCATGAGGGTTCAATGGTCAATGTTCTTGTCATAATCAATGCATTATGCCTAAAGCCAATCTTTTGATGTTTCTCAATCTTTTCAGGCTGGCAAGTCCTTATTCAATGGGAAAAAAATGTGCCCCTCCCCCCGCCCTTCATATTTTATAAAAGTAAGAGTAAAAAAATAGTGTTTCAGTGCTAAGCCTATATAAATGTATTTGTGGGGGTGTTTTGAGAGATTGACAGAAAACCTGATTTGCATGGGTTAGGGTGTTCAGAGAGGGGGGAAAGCAAGATTTTCTTTGCATTAGATTGTTATAAAATTTGCCTCACAACCCCAGTGATTGCTTCTCATTACACTCACCATGAGGCTGGGGGGTCTGAAAGCACCAGTTGAAAAACACTGCTGTAAGCCGTACTAAATTGTTTCCATTGCAGGTTCTGTATCAACCACCTTGGAAACAGTGTTTCCCCCTGTTAAATATTATGCACATTTTCATATTTCTAAGAGAGTATCACCACATTTCTTTTAACCTTGTAAGAGTATCACTGAAGGTGACCTCCTAGCAAAGGCTGTTAAAACTTGCCCTAATAGCTTCATTGTTTTCAATCCCATCAGGCAGAACTAAAAGCAGAGGTGCAATATATTGATCCATCAGAGCAACTCCCCTATTTTAATTCCCATAAATCTAATGGTAAAATTCATTTTGTGTCACCATGACAGGAATAAACCTAATTAGAACTCTCTGAGGGAAAGTCAACCAGTCACATTTCATTTTTAATAGGCTTCAGTTCAGCATGGGACTCATAATTCCCATCATGGTCAATTATCTCACAGTTGGTCTATAATGATTAGATGCTCTCTCTTAATTGAAACTTCTTGATGTGGTGTAGAGAGATGCAAATATAAGTTTCTGCATAGGTTTGGCAACTGGTAACGAAGATCCTGAAATGAAGCAAGAAGGAGCCAGTTATTGTAATATCTCCTGCAGCAGAATACTCCCATTTAGGTTATCATGTTACTGTCGTAGTCATTGGAGAGGCAAAGATCATTTTCAAATGACCATAGTTCTATTAATTATAAACTTAATATAAAGCTAGTACACTGTGAATTCAGCTTATAGAGGTTGGGTTAAGTCAAGGCCATTGTGCAAGAGAACTTTTTAGTTAATTGCATAGGAGAGAAGTCAGTGGAATGGTGGACTAAAACTATCGCATTCCAAACACTGGCTGTGGTATGTTAACTGTTTTGGGGAGAATAAATTTTTCTTCAGAAAAAAAGGGCTTTGAATTTTTTCAATAAGTTATATTCTGTTTATCCCAAATATTTGACAGAATATTTTTGCAGCATATTTTAGGTTTAAACATTACATTGTGCCTTTATCTTTATGCAAATTAATATTTTTAAACCAAAAATCAAGAATTACTGTTCTGCCTTAAAAACCTTGAATTAGGCAAAAGTTCAGATAAACAACTGTGCAAGTCTTCATATGATAAACCATATGCTAAAACAATTTAACATTTATCAGTACTTGCGATATATATAAAATTCATTAGAACATATGTTCTGCGCTGAAGGCCTAATTCAGCAAGGTACTTAAGCATGTAACTAACTTTAAGTATATCAGTGGTCCCTGTGAAGTCAGTGGAATTATTCACATGCTTAGAGTTGAGCAAAATTTGACATGCAATTTTTTTGTGTGTGCACACAAAATACAGGTTCCAATTCTTTCAGGTCATGAAATAATTCATCCATTTGGGTCAAATTTGGCAAATTGTTTTGGTCAAATAAAAAAAATGAGAAATATCAAAACATTTCATATTGGCATTTCTGAAACAAAATATTTTGATTTTTGTTTTGGAAACATTTAAAAGGTTAAAAACCTCAAAAATGAAATGGAATGTTCTGTTTTGAGTCAAACATTTCATTTGATCTGAATTGATATTTTTTTTTTTACTTTTCAAATGTCAGTGGATATTTTTTAATTGTTTCTGTTGATCCAATTCAGCCAATTTTTTTTGTTCATCCACTGAACCAAAAAATTGATTATTTGCACATCTATACTTGTGAGTTACTTCTGTAAGTCAAGTGGTAGAGGCCTATGATTTATGCATAATTATTGTGCATTTTTCCACTTGTTTGCAGATGTCATATTACTATTTTGCTATGGGTTTAAAAGAATGATTTATTAATTCTCAAACCCAATCTTAATATCAGTGTGTAAGAACTACTAAAATACGCTATAACACTCAGCTCTCGGGTATAAAAAACTTTATTTGACAAACTCCTTTTATAGATATAGAAATTGGATATTAGTTCATCAAGGTAAATCCTACTTAGTAATCAGAGCAAGGAATATACTGGAAAAAAATATTTGCTTTTGTGTCTGCTTGGTATGAACATATGTGAATCCAGATTTACTGACATGCATGTTCATAGAAAAATTATGAAGTTTCATATGTGAAACAATTTTAGTTTTGTTCCAGTGAGCACTTGCACTCAAAATGCTCATACTACAGATTCCACCAAAGGTCATTACCATAGTTTGATATTGACCGTTCTGCTCCAAAGCTTAGACTTATGCTCCTTGAGCAATAGCTAACTCTATTAGCTGACAGCATTAGTAGGCTGTTATACTTTTCAAGTGTGTTATGTGCTCAGGACAAGATTTTCAGAAATGACTGGTGACTCTAGATGCCTCATTCTCTAAATACACAACTTGAGACACTTTAAGGGATCCTGATTTTCAGAGGTTGGGAGCTTGTTTTTGAATATCTGGCCCCTTCGAGTTGTATCAAAAATTTGGGCACCCAACATTTACTAGTCTGTTTTGAAAATCTTGGCCTTATTCTGTCAGGGAACAGAAAGAATACTACGTGGTTTATCTGACCAGTGACAGTCTGACTGCAGCTCTAATGGGAATTACTGAAAACTTACAGATAACTCTTCATAATCATACCAGAGTTAAAAAAAAAGTAACAAAAGAAATGTTAAATACTTTTGCCGTAACCAATAAATTCAAATGAAGAAAGACTAAATTTGTCAAAGAGGTTATTCATTGCAAAATATTTTCAGTCTTAACAGAATGTTAAAGATATAAAAGGTCTGTATCATCATTCCTCTTATTATAATTTGTTCTAATTCATCATTTTTATATCTTGATACAAAAGCTTTTATCTGGCCATGTTCAATGAAGGACCATAGACTGATAAGTCAGAAATAACATTTTTGTGCATCTCTATTTATCTCCTCTTCTGTTTTTCCAATTTAGTCTCTGAACCATACAGTCTACAAGCGATGATGATCTATTTGAGTTGCTTTTACATCTAACATGTAATGACAGTCAATTACCTGAACTATTATTTACTGCTGTATAATAAATCACTAATGCCAAGTAAATTAAAATCATGCTTTCATTATGTATTTCAAGCACCCAGTCAGCCTCCAGGAAACGTTATATGGAATGTTACAGACTCCAAGGTAGTACTGAACTGGGAGCAAGTGAAAGCAATGGAGAATGAATCCGAAGTAACTGGATATAAGGTAGGTAAAAACAGTATAGCTAGAGAACTTTACGGCAATAAACACTTTCATTTTAAGCTTTTTTCATGTTTATTTCCAAGGCAGCAAATTTAGAGTTTAAAATGCTTGCAGATGCAGCCATTTTGCAGAACTCCTGAATGTGGGGTGCACGATACCACTCCCAAAACATCTTTACTGCACCCCTTTTTTATAGCCATTGTTTATATTATTTCATTTGAAACAAAAGAAAGTGAGCCAGATCCTCGGCTCAACTACAATGTTGGCCCAATTTATCAAACTGATTGCCATGTGTCAAACTGATAATTTCATGGCTTTTTAACTACTGTGGGAAAACTTCCACTGCCTTGATAAAACTTCCATTGTTAATAGTATTCTAGCAGCAAACAAATGTTCAGAGCGTTCTATAAATCTATATGTGCCCTATACAATTGCTATCTCTTAGTTAATTACAGAGGATGCTTCTACAGAGCTACATTGATTTTCACCCCTTGATGTTATTACTGTAAACAGTATTTACATCACAAATCTGAATACTGGCAACATTTTTGAGCCATTCTGGGTTGTGTTAACAAGAGACTGATGGTTGGTTACAGCCTATGCAAGACACCTGGAAAGTTAGGTCATTGGGCTTGCAGGGCATAGTTGGAATGCAAATATACCTAGTCACAGATTCAACACTATCTCTTCTGCAGTATTTGGCACAGCATTAGGTTGCCTTGGCTGTAGCTTCAATAAATACAATACAAACGTCTACTACTGAAGTCTTGTTACACTGGGTAAAGTTTTCAAAAGCACCTAAAACCCATTTTCAAAAGTGATTTAGGCACTTAGAGGAGAGATCATTACCCCTGCTTCAGACCATTTACGCCAAGTAAAAGGGCCTTGGAGCAGCATCAAGGGGCCCTAAAAGCCCCACATTTGACAGGAGAGGATTCTCCCAGCACAGCCATTATAAAGGAAGAAACCCATAAAATTGTTCTCCGAGGTCTCACACGAGCCGTGGTTTCAGGGGCATGTCTTGACTCAGAGGTGGGGCTGAGAGTGGGTGGGGGTGTGCCAAGGGTGGGGCTGGATCATGTAATGCTATAAAGATTCTGAGCAGCACTGCAACCTATAGGGCAACTCAGGAGGCTGTCATAACGTAGATATGTTGTTGTAGCTGCGTTGCTCCCAGGAAATCAGAGACACAAGATGAGTGAGGTAATATCTTTTATTGGACTGACTTCTTTTGTTGGCAAGTATTCAAGCTACATCAAGCTCTCCTTCCCAGACCTGAAGAAGAGTTCTATGGAGCTCAGAAACTTTCACCAACTAAATTCAATTTGGCCCAGTAAACTTGTCCCTGTAATGTAGATATGCATTGACACCTTGTCTCTGTAACGTAGATGGGCATTGATAACTTAATGGTGGGATGTCATGCCTACATTTCCAGTGAACTTCTGCTATTTTTTCACTCCACTCCCACTGATACCATTGGGAAGTTGTGTTATTCTTATGCAATTACCTCCATCTTCCAAGGACGACTCTGAGTGCAAGTCCGAAGAAGTGGGTTGTAGCCCACGAAAGCTTATGCTCTAATAAATTTGTTAGTCTCTAAGGTGCCACAAGTACTCCTGTTCTTTTTGCGGATACAGACTAACACGGCTGCTACTCTGAAGTCTGAGTGCAAGAATTGCCCTGATGGATGCTATTCTGGGGGATGCATTGGATCAACACATTCTCTGGGCTTCCAGCCCGTGCTATCTTCCCAATCAAGCCACCCACTCTGGAAGCTGTGCTGGCCAAATCCAGACCTTATGGGAGAAAGGGGGATGTGGGCACATTGGCCTACTGTGACACCGTCACCAATACCCTTTCTCCTCCAAGGACAATTTTTTAACACTGTGGGCTGCAACCCTGGGTTACTCAATGGAAGCTGACATAACCCAGGGCTGGATATAGCTCCCAGTGTTTAAAATGCAGCAGGACACATACGGTTAATTTCCATGACAGAATAATCATTCAATACTTGCAGAACTTCTTCCAGTATAGCCCATAATTTCCACATTTTTATTAACTCCCTTCTCTGTGTCCCCTTACTATTTATTGCTTGAAGTGTTTGATCTAGATAATGACAGGTTCCAAGTGGAGGGATAATTTATAGAACAATACATTACTAAGAAACTCAAGAGAATATATTATTCATTTGTTATCATTATATATTGTGCCATTTTAGATTAAAGCTGGGATAAAAGAGCTTGATTAATGTTATCTGCTTTTATTGCCTTTCTAGATATTGAGTATAATTCTGCTACATGAAGTCAACCAAAACTGAGATTGTTTTTCCCCCTGTATTTTTTTAGAATTTAACCCTTTTTCAAAAAACAAAATTCGGAGCAGTACATGGTGGAAGGAAAACTGCATGCAGCATCGCCAAAAATTCAGTTTTTTGTTGTTGTTGCAGGTTTTGTACAGGACTAGCAGTCAAAACCATGTGAATGAACTGAACACAAATACGACATCAGCAGAACTTTTACTCCCATTCAATGAGGATTACATCATAGAAGTAAAAGCAACAACTGATGGTGGAGATGGCACTAGCAGTGATGAGATCCGGATTCCCAAACTGACTAGTATGTAGTCACTGATATGAGGTGTCATTATTTTGTCTTACCGTAATGCCTAGAAGCCTACCGATATCAGAACCCCACAGCACTAGGCACCATACATACAGCTTAGTAAGAGAGGATGCATGCCATGAAGAGCTTACATTCTAAACAGGCAAAGCGTGAGGAGGAAACAGAAGTACGGAGAGGTGGAGTGATTTGCACAAGACCACACAGCTTGTCAGTGGCAGAGCTGGGAAAATAAATATATGGAGATATACCTATCGCATAGAACTAGAAGGGACCCTGAAAGATCATCGAGTCCAGCCCCCTGCCTTCACTAGCAGGACCAAGTACTGATTTTTTGCCCCAGATCCCTAAGTAGCCCCCTCAAGGATTGAACTCACAACCCTGGGTTTAGCAGGCAAAAGCTCAAACCACTGAGCTATCCCTCCCCCCGAGAGAACCCAAATCATCGGACTCCTAGGTCACTGCCCTGTCAAAACTGTGGTGGTTCCTCTGTTGACATCACTCACTCTCTCTCACTCATGCCCGTCACCCCAGTCAGGGTATGGGCCGCCAACCACAGACCTCCAGAGTCCTTTATCCTGGGCCATTTGCTCTAGCTGGTTACTCGTACATGGTCCTCACGTTCCATGTACCGATGGTAATCCTCCTGGTTGCAAGAAGGGTAATCGGCTTAGTGGCTTCCTCACGACTTTCACCACCCAGCGTCATGCGTCTTCGAGTTGAAGACCCTTCTTTTTCCAGGCTAAAAGTCTCTGTTATCTCTATTGTTGGCGTTTCTGTAGCAGGTTGATTTTTTACGGGGTGGAGTTGCTAGCACCTACGCCCAACCCTCCTCCTTTATCCTGACTTGGGACAGGCAGATGGCCCCAAAGGACCTCTCTGGTGGAGTTTCTGTTGACATATTGTCTGACATTTCATTCCAAAACTTAGTGGAAAAGCAGATGCACAAGGAGCATAAATTCTGATCTTTTGTTGCTCCAGGTTGTGAGAGTCCAAGTAAGTAATGTGCTGATGCTCTACTCAGGGTGATGTCATCTTGTTACATAAGTACCCACTATAGGTTGATCAAAGGACTGAAGAGAGCAACTCACTTGTATTCCGGGCAAGATAACCTTAACTTGAACTCCCTGGACATCTAGAAAGAAGGCAGATAGTGACAATGTTCGGAAAAGGAAGTCTCTTAAGTAACGCTAATATAGTACTCTGGGAATGCTCAGGCTTTAGAGTTGCTCAACATGAAGTTAATGGGGCTTCAGTGATTTACCCCAGCTGAGGATTTGGCCAAGTGTGTGCCTTCTGAAAAAAATCTATGAAAGGTTTTGCTCTGCTAATGTTTTATAAAAGTTCTATACCCCAGTGACAGGATACAAGACAGACCTAATAGCATAAGGATCATGAACTTGACTTGAGCTTAGTTTAATTGAGTTTCAGAATGCAAAGTAATGCTAACTAGCATCTGAAATTAACAGAGAAATTGTTAATCATTTATACATCTGGGATTAAAGTGCTTCAGCAATAGGCATTAAATGGCACCACTAATTATATATATTCCCAGTATTTTGTAACACCACCTATTTTGTTTTAGTTGACTGAATCATGACTAGACTTTGCGCCTAACATCCACAGCCAGCAGTTGTAGGAGCCAGTCTTTATATGAATGGATTCTTTATTGATTAAAAGAGGGAAAAAACCATGCTTGTACGCTGTATGGTAATAAGTTAATAAAAAGGAAACCAATTAACATTCACATGTCCTTACTCATGATAAACTTCCTTCTTTTGGTTTGGTAAATTACCATGTAGATTAGACAGTCTGTGTGTGAGTGAGAGAGAGAGATTTTATATATATACATAAGTGTGTGTGTGTGTGTGTTAAAAAAATCAGATTTTCACTTTTCATATGGCTCTCTTTTTTTTATTTATAACCTTAAAGATGAAGACAGTTCTGTGAATCCTCCTGAAATGTGAATGTATTTCAATTCTTTATAAATATTTAGAATTATTTGGTAAACCTTGCATTGATTAGCTGAAATGAAGAACTGTAATAAATCTAGGTTAGATAAATGTCTATCAGGGATGGTCTAGACAGTATTTGGTCCTGCCATGCGGGCAGGGGACTGGACTCGATTACCTCTCCAGTCCTAGAATCTATGAATCTTATCTGGAAAATAACAGAGGCTGAGATACTCAAAGGTGTCTAGGTTTCTAACTCCCACTGCTTTTAATTGGAGTTGGGGCCTAAATAGCTTTGAGGATCTGTGCCAGAGTACTTATTGGTTACATGTTTTGAGACATCATATATATTGCATTAATTTAATCCCAAATTTTTCATTTGTCACAGGTATGGATGCAAGAGGTTCTGGTGCATCAGTCGTGAACATCTACAGTTTATCCAGTTTCATATGGATAGTACCTTTCTTGACTTTTAATGCAGTGTTGTGGTGATACATTGTCATTCATTGGATACATTAAATCAGTTACAAAAGTGCTTTTTAAAAAAAAAATGCAGTGGTTATGCATGGGTTTTTTTTCAACTCTGTGTTTTTAAATACTTCATATTCCATTGTAGGTTAAATTAAAAAAAAAACCCACCATATAAAAATTCAGTAAATCCTTTTAAAGGAATCTAAAATGCCTTAATACTTGAACCAAAGGAGTTTACATAATACATTTGTCAAATCTGATGTAAATGAGAGTAAGAGTATTATGCTACGATTTGAGAGCTTCACAGAGTCTCAGATACACCTTAGCTCTATGATGAACTCCATTTTTTTTGCAGTGACACTAAATTGTTTTGAGTGTATCCCGTGTCATTGTGATAGAATAATTCTAATCCACACAAACAGATGAAAATGGATGCATATTTAACTGGAATCTAATGACAAATCTTGGACCGATGAGATCTTTTAAAAGCAGTATGTTTACCAAGTATGTTCAGATAAGCTTGCGTACTGTCCTTTTACATAATCTACTCTAAATCTATCAGATAATCATAGATATTAGAGATGGAAAAGACCTTGTCCATCTCCTGTCACTGTTTTGTCCCATTTACCTTTGAAAGTCCAAGAGACAGGGTTTCCAGCACTTCTCTTGAGAGCCACACTTCAAAGGTTTTCTCTTTTTCCTCATAGTCAGCATACGTTTGTATACCTCCCTTCGAGAACACAAGTCCTTTCTCTCCATTTATATGTATTTGAATTAATTTTAGATTTTTTTCTCATTCCCCTACTTCATCCATCTCTTTGCCAGGTTATCGCATACATATTTAGCATTATATTCTGTCTTCATAACCTGATCCCTCCCGCTCCTGGCTCATTTTTGTTGCCCTTCTCTGAATTCCCACACCCCCAAGGTGTTTTGGAAAATGCAGTGCCCAGAACTGAGCACTGTATTTTAGGTGCAGATGCACCGTGGCCTTATAGAAAGGGACCGTTGCCTCCCTGCTCTGTGATGTGTTTCTTCTGAATATTCAGCCCAAAATTACATTGGCCCTTTGTCTACCACATCACATTGCAAACTATGCCTGATTCAATATATGCTGTTACTCCTCTGCTCCCTTTTAGCATTGCTGCTACCCAGAGTTCTCCTTTTGGTTGCTGAAAGGGACCTCTGTGTCTAAGCACCTCCATCTCCCTCAGCTGGGCTGGCATTCTGTAATAAATCCCATGAACATCATATAATTCTTGGTATGACTATGGCAATATACTATAGCTTTTACTAGATATATAGAAATATATATAGATATAGATATATATATAAACAAAGACTTTTTGTCCTTGTTATTACGGAGATTGTTCTAAATCTATATGTTCCATAGCAATATATAAAAGAGATGCCAAACCTGGTACATTTGATTTTCTACATTTGCAAAGCTTAGACAAATCATACGTTATTCTATCCTTTCAGACAGCTTTCAATCGAATAGCAAATTACACAATGTCAAATGTTCATGTGACATAAAAATGATATTCTGTTTTTTCAGTTTAATCTCAAAGTATTGTTACAACAACAACAAAAATCAAAAATATCAACCTCAAGTGAACCAAGATCAGTAAAATTCTGACACCACTGTAGTAATGTTTTAATATGCATTCAGATATCAAATTCACATTAATATAACACACAAACTATCTTGCTAGCTATCCAAGCAAGATCTGTATATACTGTACATACATAGTAAAAAAATCATAAATGGCTAGTTGTTTTTTCAATATGGCTAACCATTGACGTTTCTAAACAGTCACAAATGGGGGGAAACCGACATTCCTAGTAAATATATAGTTCAGTTTCATGCAATGAAAGGTGAATCTTTCTATTCTTGTTTAAGAAATTCTGCAGTGTCATTTTCATGATTATTCTATTGCATTATTTAACTTTGTTATATATCTCCATGAGATATGTACTGAGTATCTTGTTTCATATTGAAAAGTATGAAATTTATCCTTAAACTTCCAGTTGTGTGTGTATCCTATGGTTATCTGTATGTATTTTTTTCTATTATTCTAATAAAATATTTATAACATTGAGGAATATTGGAATATTTCAAAATATGCTGCCCTCTCAATATCACATATTTGTACTCAGAAGAGCACATTGTAGAGATGTCCAACCACAACACTTGCCTATATTCTTAACAGCATTCCTGCTAACTGCCAATTCTCTATTTTTTCCCCATCTCTGCTCTCATGAGGCCTGATCCAAAGGCTACATAAGTCAACAGAAAGATTCTCATTGACTTTACTAGGTTTACGTACTCTTTTCAAATGTTTCTTATACTGTAATATAGATCTGCCTGGGCCCATTTCCTTAAGCATTTAGTCCTTAAACATTTGTTAGTTTTTGATAACTCTCCGCTTCCCTTCCTAATATTTTATTTTCAAGGGAGGCAGTGTTGCCTAGAAGATAGAGCAATAGATTGGCACTCAGGACACCTGAGTTTGTTTCCAGCCCTGCTATTGCTTGGTGAATGACCTTGAGCAAGTCACAGCACCTAGTTGTGCCTCAGTTTACCCATCTGTAAAATTGAAATGATACCTCCTTTGTAAAGCACTTTGAGATCACCATATAGACTGTATTATAGAAGAACTAAGAATTTATTATTACACATTATTATTATTTAAAGGTATGGAATGTGTATTGAAATGCAAAGAAGTGACAGCCCTTTTATGTTCCTAAGTGCCACTAGTAACAAAGTATGCATTTTTGGCATGCAAGACATGCAGGGTTGGGACACAGAAGCTAGATTCACCGTTTTAAGGCTCCGATCCTGTAAACATGGATCTGAGTAGCTTTACTGTCCCACTAAGTTCATAAATGTTGTGTTTTCATTCTTTTCCATTCCCTTCTTTAGTTTCTTATCTTCCAAACTCAAGCTGCATTTGCTCATATTTTGATCCTTCTCCCTATCTCAGAAATAGCAAGACCTGTTTGGTCTGGCTACTGCTCAAAAAATTCAGCTGCTCCTTCTCAAGCCAAACTAAAGGAAAATCCAACCTGGGCTTTTCTGCCATTTAAACCTTATGTTTAAAATGGCATTTGGCACAGCTAGGCAATGTTACTAAGACGAACGCATGGCCTTCATGTCCTGCCAGTTGCTTCTAAATCCAGCATATTCTGAGTCTACTAAAAGAGCCAATTATGAACCAAATAAGACAACATGACCTCTACCCATGTAGCATAGAGCTGTTCCAAATGTTGCAATCTCAACATGTTTTACAAGCTTGCATGACAGGACATCAAAAGGCAATGTATAGGCCATTTTCTTGGCTGAGCAAGTTTTGGAATTCTGTTCCTAGGATTGTGAATTGGCAAGTACATTTGTGATGAAACGAGATCCAAAAGATCATTTGCACTGTGGTTTCCCAAAGGCTCGGATGAATCTTTGTTTAAGCTGAACTCCATTTGTGAAACTGCACCTTAGCTTAAGAGTCTGGCACGGTTAATATTTATTTATCAAAGCAGGACTCACTTCGATATGCAAAGTGGGGTCTCCGGGAAAGTAGTGCAGAGAAGAAGAAATGGTCAGTGACGGTAAATGTAACAATACACCTCTACCCCGATATAATGCTGTCCTCGGGAGCCAAAAAATCTTACCATGTTATAGGTGAAACTGCGTTATATCGAACTTGCTTTGATCCGCCGGAGTGCGCAGCCCCGCCCCCCCAGAGCGCTGCTTTACCGCGTTATATCCGAATTTGTGTTATATCGGGTCACATTATATCGGGGTAGCGGTGTATCTGAAAAAAAGCCACGTCTATTTTGAAATATTTCATATAGTCGGCCAAATTGCCATCCCGACTTTAACCAGGCCGCTTCCTGCACACCTTCCATGTTGTAGACCACTGTTTAAAAAATCTATCCCATAGGAATTACATGAAAGAACATTGAAAATTATTCGTATGATTAATGTAAAATGGTTGATATCACTGTGTGACTACGCAGTGTGACTGCGAAAGCGTTTCTGCTTTTTTATTGGTAAGAGGGAAAAAAGCATTTACAATGAAACTAACCAATTCTACATTATATCAATAATTCCAAGATGATGCAAATGATGATGAATCATTTGAAGCCCCATTAATGGAGCATAGTTAGTTTGAGTGGGAGCAGTCTATTATAAATAGCATTGTTTAAACATTAATTAGTATTCATTTAGGCAGCATGTAGCATAGCTGGGGGGCAGGGGGAATCTGTCCATCCTGTTGTATCCTTCTAATATATTTAATGATTCCAAAACTTTATACCGAAGCCAAAAGAAGCATTGAAAAATAGAGTGCCCAGTGCAATGGGGTTCAGACCCATGACTGGTCCATAATCTATCCATTAGGCCGCACTGCCTCCCTAAAATGCTATGGTAATATAAATCAATAATAATAAAGGTGGTGGGGAGCTTGGCCAAAGCTCTGAAAGATAAATCCAAGTCTTTATTACAGTCTGCAAAATAGAGACTCGAAGACAGGTCCTGAAATAAAGACCACTGAGCAGCAACAGATCGACTCTGGCGTCACAAACACAGGCTCTGGGAGTTATTTCAACGTTGCCAAAGAAACACGTCAGCTCTTAGGCCCTACTACTCATGCCCATGCTTTGATATGCAGGTGTTATAAGCATTAAAGCAAATCTGTATTGTAACCATGTAGTCACAGACCCAACAATCACTATGCCGTGCTTGAAGTGCTTAGATTGCATGGCTTGCAGGACAGTGGTAACATTAGCCATCGAAATATAGCATCTATGTTAGGTGTCGGAATAGTGTCCCTTTCTTTAGACACTGTTAATGAAGTACGGTAGCAAGGGGCTCTGCTGGAAAGTCTTAATTCATTAGTTTTTAGGCTTGAGACTTTTGATGGAATGTGATTTAAGTTGTCATTCTATAAAATGTGCTGTAGCTCTGTGTAAATGACACATACAAAATAGGGATGGAAAAAACTCCAAGTTCCCAGTTCAGATTTAATTGAAAAAAAATATTTAAATGGACCACTTCTCCCAGTTCACAGCTGTGTGACTCTGGCATAATTCCCTTGAAATCAATTTCTGTAGTTACTAC